CAGCACAAGAGAGCCCCAACGCGGCCCAAGAGAGTACCCAGGAACGCCGAGAGGGCCACCGGAGGACCCCTACATGGTCGGTGAGGGCCCCCAGAGGGTCCCCAGAGGGCTCCAAGACGGGCTCGGGTTCCCATGGCGGGCGAAGAGGGACCCGGAACGGCCGAACTGGGCTCCCAGAGGGTCCAAAGAAGGCCCACCAGGTCTCCCTGAAGACGGTCCAGGAGGCCGCTGAGAAGGCTCCCGGGTGGAAAAATCTAGCATTTCCATGAGGAAAAACGTGCATTTCTATGATATTCGCTTCTTATGTTGCATCGGCGGCCACGTCGGCCCCAAAGCCTCCCCAAATCGGCGCCACCCGGTCCACGAGACCTCCAAGAGGGCTCCAAGACAGCCGAGAGAGTCCTCAGGGTGCCCGAGGGAGCCACCGGAGGATCCCTACATGGTCGGAGAGGGCTCCAGGAGGGCCCCAAGACGGCTCAGCCACCCATGACATGCCAAGAGGGGCTTGAGACAGCCGAAATGGGCTGTCAGACGGTGCCAGACGGACCGCAGAAGGCCCAAAATGACCCCCCCACGGTTGTCCGAGAGGCCGCTGAAAAGGCTCTCCAGAGGCAAAAATCAAGCATTTCCGATGGGGAAACGTATATATGTGGGAGGCTTTTCAGTTCTACCAGCGGTCGCGACGGCCCCAGAGGAACCCAAAATGGGTCCCAGACGGCCCCAGAGGCCCCAAAGAGGGTTCCAGGATGGGTTGAAGAGAGCTTCAAGCGGCACAGAAGACCTACAAGACGGCCCAAGAGAGTTCCCAGGAAGCCCGAGGGGGCCACCAAAGGATTCTTACATGGTCGGAGGGCCCCAGGAAGGCCCCAAGACGGGCTGTGCTCCCCACGACGAGCCAAGAGGGACCCGGAACGGCCGAAATGGGCCCTCAGACGGGCCAACAATGGGCTCCAAAGGAAGGCCCAGAGAGGCTCCAGAGACTGCCGCAATGCTTCCAAAAAGGCTCCCAGCATGCGGTCCAGTAGGCACCCGTGTACTGGGTGCGTTGAGAGAAGAGAGGCGGAGGAGGACAAGGAGAGGAAGGAGGAGCAGGAGGAGGAGGAGGAGGAGGAGGAGGAGGAGGAGGAGGAGGAGGAGGCAGGAGGAGGAGAGGAGGAGGAGGAGGAGAGGAGGGAGGAGGAGGAGGAGAGGAGGAGGGGAGAGGAGGGAGGAGGAGGAGGAGGAGGAGGAGGAGGAGGAGAGGAGGAGGGAGGAGGAGGAGAGGGAGGGAGGAGGAGGAGGAGGAGAGGAGGAGGAGAGGAGGAGGGGGAGGAGGGGAGGGAGGAGGGGGGAAGGAGGAGGGAGGAGGAGGAGGAGAAAGGGGGAGGAAGATCATGAGGACGAAGAGGGGGAAGAGGAGGGGGCAGAGGAGGAGGGTCATTGCTCTTGTAAGATGATCTTGTTCTCTGATTATCTGCTTCGTGTAGGGATGCTGAGAACGAGGAGGGAA